GAAAAATTACCTTCAGCTCTTCCCACGAAGGTCCCCTGTAGTTCCACTTCCCCGGGAACTTTCTCATGATGATTCCCCTCCTCATTCTCACTCCCTTGCTCAGCACCTGCTGGGAGAGAGACAATCCAGACAGGAGTCATTGTGCTGGGGAGAAAGAGGAATAGCACAAAGGGAAAACACAACACAAAGAATGAGCAATTTGCCCTCCTCCACATCCCACCCAAACACTCACAGGGAAGGAGAGACAGAAAGGAAACTCCTGCAGCTAAGAGGCTGGGTGGAATGGCGTGAGCTATATCTGATGACTGCAGCCCTGTCCTGGCTGAGATGAGGAAGAACTGAGGACATTATTCACACCATATTTTGGGATTCTCAACTTGTTCCTTCATTCCCTAGATTGTTTCTGTGTCAGTCCTCACCTGTACGGGTGCATCTCGGAAGCCTTCTTTCCTTGCAGGCCTGGAGATCGGGCACCCACGGCTCGTCCCCTCGTTCCAGCCAGGCAATCAGTTCAGGTTTGGGAATGGGAAATCCTGTGCAGAGGGTGAAATCAGACCAGATCAGGGTGCTTGGAGCATTGGTCAGTATTTGTCACAAAGGACATTCTGTGAGTGGAACATTTCCCTGTGCTCTGCTGCAGGAACGTGGAATCCAAGAGGATGGGAACATGGTCACTGAGTCCCCTTGCGCAGAGGAATTTGTCTGGGGAGGTGAATTAAATTATTACTACACTGTCACTAGGTGTTCCCAGGATCTGTGATCTCTGGGGGTCTTCCTGACTCACACACAGCTCTGGACTTAAACCCCTGCCTCTTTCTAAACCCTGCAGAGCCCAGAGCCCTCCCCATGGCTGGAGCTATTCCCAAGGAGGGAGGTGAACAGGGATTGTGTGTGCAGCCAAGAAACAACACAGTCAGGACAGTGCTGGATTTATGCCCCTTTGAAAGCTGGAGGCGTGGGGATGGTTTAGCTTGTCCATTGGATTTTGACACCCATGTGCCACTGGAGAGGGCAGGGAGATGCAAGTCTCTCTCACAGGGCAGCTGTGCATTATGGAACCACTCACCTCTGATCTATCTGACATAGGAAGAACATGACCAGATTCAGACATGCAGACCCCACAGCTTCTACTATCTGAGGGGATGGGAATTCCTTACCCAGGGAGGTTACCATCTCATAGTTCTCCTGCATGACATTCCTGTAGAGAGCTCTCTGAGTGGGGTCCAGCAGAGCCCCCTGACCCTGGGTGAAATACACAGCCACCTCCTCGAAGGTCACCGGCATCTGGAACACCAAAAGCCCCCACTCAGCACCTGCTGCTCCAGCCACAATCCCACTAGTCACGAGGGAGGAAGGATAAAGAAATGGAAGATCTGGGAGCGCCAGAGTAGCAGAATCCCACGCCCACCCTGCTCAGAGGAGGCAGGACGCTTCAGGGGGTGGGGAGAAGGTGAGAGCTCCTTGTCCCCCCCAGCACACGGAGCAGGGCAGGGTCTTCTCGTTTTCCTCATGCCTGCCAGACGTAGGCTGATACGGGAAGCAGAGTTCTGAGCCAGAGACAGGGACAGGAATACCAACACTTCCCTTCATATTTGACAGCAACCTCAGGCTAGTGGGGTCTCACTCCAGCACTGGGAGCCTTAAAAATGTTCCCAGCTCTGTGCAGGGGGGTTGTATCGTCTGTGAGAAATGGGGGAATGTCCCTTCTCCCCTCCCCCGTCACCAATGGGCCCACTCAGAAAATCAGCAGGTTTATCACATCCTGTCTCCTCCCTGCCCCCGCCCAGGAGCTCCCTGAAAATCCCCTACCTGAGCTGGCTCCATCACAGACATTTCCCTTCCCGGTGTCCTGGAAGACGGGCCCATCTGGAGCAAAACATTAACGTGATTCTTCAGCCTGTCGGGGTGAGAGAGGCGATGGGGGAGGTTACAGAAGGGGCTTCAGTCCATGTCACCCCCCGATTGCCCCGCAGACTCTTCAGACCCTCCCAGTAACAGTATCTCTGAGCCAAATGCTAGAAAAAAAAGCAGAACTAAAGGGGCCACTTTGGGGGATTTCCCCAAACTGCCGTGTAAACTCCTCTCCCTTAGGAGCAGCAGGAGCCCTCTGATGGCATCACCTAAAGAATGAGCTGCCCTGGACTCCCCCAGCAGCCCCCAGGGACAGGCAGGCAGAGGCTGATCCCAT